TGCTGAACATGCTCGCATTCATGTGGATGGAGCAATGAAACTGCTGTGTGCGTGGCTGGGACCACACTGAGCATAGCTGCATCCTTCACTGCTGGTAGCCTCTGGCTCAGCGGTGCTGTCATTTTGGACAAATCATTGAACAGTTTGTTTTCTACCCAGTGGAGTCCATATTCATGAGGGAAAAGAGAGTAGCAGAATTTAGGCCCAGGTTTGGAAGACCTCCTCAGTCTTGCAGATAGGTGTGAAGTCAGCTGTGAGTGATGTCGCATGCTGCACATGCATGCATGTCACTCACAGTCTGAGTCTTCCAGGCTCTCCTGGGTTCAAGCAGTAAAGATTAGATGTTTCCACAGACTGTTCTGCTTTACTGCCAACAGACAAGTGCTTAGTAAACTAAATGCCTATGCACTTTACACTATGTTAGTGGAAAAAAACATGTTTTGACTTCCTGAGACTTTCTCTTAGCAAATAATAAGAGAAATACACTGACAGTGCAGTCTAGTTAGTCTCACCAGTAGTTTCAGTGGCACACATACATATGACCTGAACAGTTAAGCCCAAGGATTAAGTCACCTGCCATTCCAGTTACTACCATAATAAACATCTTAACATTATACCAAATTAACCTGCCTACTTGCTTGCTTGGTTTTAAAGTAGTTGTAGCATGCTCAAAGTAAGTTGACAAACTCTTCAGGGATAACCAAACCAAAATCCTACTCATTTAAATACATGCATTTATTCTTCCAACCCTAGCTATTCTGTGATTCTATGATTCTGTCTTTCTCAAGCTGAGTGGTACAAAATGCATTTGTGAGCTGGTGCATATAACCTGAGGAAGGCTAGGGAGGAAGGTTAGGCTAAAGGAAGAGGCTGAGCTGACTCACAAAACTCATCTTACAAGTGGCACTTATGTGTTACGAGGGCATGATCCTAAGCTTTGTGATGTCTGTTCCAAATAATGCACAGAAAACTGAATTTTACTGACAGATGAATGTCTTAATGTCTTAATGCCTGTCACGGTTCTCAGCTCAAGCGACCGGAATGGATATGAGCAGGAATGGTGGTAAAGATGCTAGTTTAGTCTGACACAGCATTTTGTTCCGATTAGCGTACATTTCACAAGCTGATTTCATTGGACAGACTTACATGAATTGGTTTTTATGCCTGCCCATTGAAAAAAAAAGAATTAAAAAAAAATAAAGTACAGCAGAGAAGAAACCTATCCAGGCAAAGGAAAAACAAAACAAAACACAACAAAAGAAAGCCCTGCCAAACCGACCTGGTAGATTTACTTTGTAGGTCTGGAGTGTGATGCCGAAGCCTGCACTGCTGTTTCTGAACTGCTGCTGCAGGTGCTGGGAAATACAATGCCTTTACTTTGTTACTGCTCTTCTAGAAGTTGTCAGGATGCAAACTGGAAAGTGATCAAACTACTGGACCGTAACAAAACTCTAAACTTGCCCCTGAGTTCAAGCAAACCTGCATAAATCAAGTGGTTCAAACGCCTGACTGCATCAGCTCACTCATTAACAGACTGGAATAACAAATGGGACTAGTCTTTATTGCTGTATCCTGTTCTTAGTTTGGAGGTGGTTTTGCAGGATTCAAAGTGAGCAGGATTTAAAGTTTTGGAAGCATTCATCTGAAACGCTTAATTGTTCTAACAGGTTGGCTGTTCCCTCAGGGGCTGGGGCCAAGCAAGAGGCTAGTTATTAGATCGAGTTAGCATTTGTTATGTGCCATGTTCAGAAGGATGAAAAAAGCTTGTTTTGCTCGAAAGGAATGAGAGAGGTACAGAATAGAGCAAACAGCAGCATGAGTAAAGGTGAAAGCGCTTTGTTTGAACCAAATAAAAGAACAGAAGACCATACAGAGAGTGAAGTGTGGTGTTTAGCTTTTCCTAGTGAAACAGCTGGAAACTGTTACAGGTTACTTTTTTTCAGGTGAAAACTCTCAAATAGTATATTTTTTATTCTGATTCCTATGTGAATGTACAAATTTCAGCTGTTGCCCATGTACTTTTAGTTTTAAATAAAACCAAACCAGAATGTCTCTTCCATATCTGTTTTAACTATCCAGAGATCAAGCACTCCAGGTTGGGTTTTCTTAGGGTTTTTTGGTTTATTTTTGTAAGTGTCTGTGCTGCACTGCCTCTGGCCTTCTGCTCTGAGCCTGGGGTGATGTGAAAAGAATAAGGAAATGTCAAAATCCTTTTATCTTGTCCTTTCTGCAAGCTAAAGTCATCAAGCCTTGTTCTTGGTTGTCAAACCAGAATTTATACAGGGGAATTCCTAAAATCTTTCCCAGAGTCCCAGTGACAAGGAATCAGCATGCTAGAAATGGCAGTGGAGCTGCCAGTGCTCAACACTGTTGTGTTATCACTACATGCTTTTTAGTTTTGAGATAGAAAAAGTTGTATTTTCTTTCAAAATGAAATTCAATGTACTGTGTTTGCAGATTGTAACTAAAACCCAAATTGTGTGGTTGGTGGGCAGAATGGTATAGACCTAAGAGTTTTCTAAGCAGAAATTAGTTCATAGGTTAGCATGAAGTTCCTTACATTATACTGTGTTCAGGGTTTTGATTCCTTCTTTGTGTTTATTTTGGTTTGGTTTGGTTTGGTTTGGTTTGGTTTGGTTTGGTTTGGTTGGTTGGTTGATTCATTGGTTCATTGGTTTGTTGTTTGGGGTTTTTTTTGGGTGTGCCTGTTTGATGAGTGGGGGTTCATTAGTACCTCCTAAGGTACTTGTTCTGGGAAAAAAATCAAGTAAGGAAAGCAGAGAAAATTACATCATTCGTCTCAAAAATATTCTCCACATGCAGTACGTGCTACCACTCTGGTGAATGCCCAACTGGTCCCCTCCTGCAGCACCCAGTGAGAGCAAAGAAAGGAAGAGATAGTCCTAAATGGAATATATATTTATGCGTGGAAATTTCTGCATTTTCAAAGGCAATGACAGGAAATTAAGAAGATGGATCTCATTAACTTTGATCCTGTACCTTTTTCATTAAGATGTCAGGCAGTATAATTATTTCTTGAAAAATGAAAATGGAAGAGAATCTGTGATCTATGGTAGAATGAGAAAAGCAAGTGATAAGACAATTATATTGTTGTAGATTTATTGCAAGACAGCTAAGAACTAGTATCCTGAAATTAATTGTACCTGTTATAGATTATCTGTATAATAAAGTTCTACACATATATCTCAATTTTCTATATATGAAAGCGAAATACATACACAACCCATCTGGATAATTTCAGTCTCCTGTGGTTAAAGTGGGAAGGTGGTTTAGGCCATGTAAATAAACAAATGTTGGGTTTGAAAATAATTTTGGCCATCTGTAATGAAGAGACAATTTAAATCTGCTGGTTTGCAACTGCAGGCAAAAACCTACATTTCCTGTCTGCTATTTTTGTTATCAGTTTTATTTTCTGCAAGAAAATAAAAGGTACCTCAGGATACACTTTGTGACCGCTGTGGTGTCACTGATTGGCTGGCTGTCACTCTGACTTCACTGTCCTCAATATTCCAAAGCATAATTATAATAACTAGTACATGCTACATTAAAAAGTACAATCATTACTTTAGCTTCAGTTATGGCAGATCAGATGCATGGCAATATTGACACTATGATTTATATTTCCTATCCCATCTGCAAGTTCCCTCCCTTGCTTCCCCCTTGGTTGGGTGCTCCAAGGTTTACAGCCTATCTGACACATATTCTCTGCATGACAACTGTCCCACCTCTGTTTACATCTCCCCTTACTCGATTTTGTACGCCTCTTCCTCTTATCTATTTATCTGCTTTTACGGTTTGATTTCAGAACTCTCTGGCAGACATATGGTATCCCAACCTACTGTTTTAACTACTGAACCAGTTTGCACCAGCTTAGCTTCATAGGTTGTACAAAGATAGCATTCTTTTTAACCACAGAGTGTGTCTGTTGCCCAAAGATGACATTGTTTTTAACTACAAAGTGTGTCTGTTTAAGCTATGGTATTTCAAACCCTTTGTTTCGTTCCCTTAGTAACTTAGCCTCAGCTCCAATATTGTAAGGTCTTGATATTGCAAAGCCTTAATATTACAAAACGTTAATATTGTAAAGCCCCATCCCCAATATGCGAAACCAATAATGTTTCTGTCACGTTTACTTCTGTCCTCTGCATATAATTATATTGGTCTCACTCTCCTCGAGCTCCTTTTTCCATAAATACTTTCAGTTTTTATAAACCTGGCTTTTCTTTCTGTAGCCAGCAGAGGGAGCTATGTCACTCACTCATGTAGGACCTTTGAAGTTTGTGCTTTTAATCTCGGCGCTTTTCCAGCTCCCACGAGCTGGAATGATTCTCATGCCTTAAAATTTCATTACAAGGCTCTGGCACGGTGGCAGTCACATAGGCAGTTTGACAAACCGTTACACATTAGGAACAGGGTACCTTTCCCAGGTTTCTCATTAAAAATTAACCGTGCCAAATAGTACTAGAAGTCTACGTTCTGCACTGTCTGAACCACAAACATTGGCTTCTGAAGCAGTGAAGTCTTTAGACAAAAACCTTGTAATCCAAAACATGGGTTTGAAACAGTTGTTGCTTGCAGTCAAGAAAAAGTATAGGTGAGAACTGAAAGCTGTGTTGATCTTACTTTTGCAGATGGAGTTGCAGGATGTGTGCTGCAGTAAGACTCCTCAGCAGCAGAAAGCTGTTTTTTTTTTTTTGTCAAATGCACCTCTTCCCCTGAGCAACCCACAGCATGGTTTAGCAGTGTGGAGTTACATGTGAAAGGAGCCATTCAGTCTTTCTACATCCATAGGGCCCTCCATTTGTAAGACTGATCGTATCACCTTAAGTAAGCGTCCTCTTTACTCCAGTGTCATTTGTGGAGTATTTCCAGACCAAAAAAAGGCCTGCATTCTCCTCTGACTGCCTCATGACATCTCTCATGACAGCAGGATGATGATGTCACAGTGCCCCACCTTGGAAGGCACTTCTCATGACCAGGATAATCTCTGGAGAAGTAGCACTGTTTGCACTATGGAAGTAACTTCGCTTGTCTTTTTATCCCTCCTAATTTCTGCAGGGACTACTGGAAAACTCATTTCACGTGATGGTATGTTCTAATCAAAACTTTCTTCTGTTAAAAAATATCCCAGAGGTTACATCCTCTAGATATAAAAAAAGCAGAGGGTATTTCTTCCTCTCATTATTTTTCAGTTAAGTTTTTCCTAGGAGACCAAGTCCATTCCCTTCCACCGCAGTAGCGCTGCTGTTTTGAAAACATGTTCCACAGTTTGACTTGTTCTGCCTGTGCAGAGGTGCAAAGGCATGTAGGAAGCAAAAGTGCACAGAGCTTGCCCAGTCTCTCCAGCAATGACACAGCACCCAGGCAGAACATAACCATTAGAGTTCCTAACACCAGAGAGAAGAGCAACTGCTCTAAGTCCTGTGAGCCAAGCAATGAGTTTAAATGAGAATTGCGCAATGTTTGCTCCTGAGCTTTCTAATGGCGCAGGGACAGTCAATCCTGCAGGCACATCACAGAGTTCAGTCATCAGGAACTCAAAACAGGAACACTGAAATACTCAACTGTTTCTCTGGCTGGCTGCTTCTCAGATTTACCTTCACAAAGGGAAATGAAAAACAATTGATTCACAAGGTCAGAAAAGGACTGTTGTTTTCCTGACCATTGCAGACATAGTCTTACACTGCAGACCCCAGACTGGAACATTGTTTTCTTAGCATACATAATTTTTCATTTTAACTGAGAAATATTCTCATTGGCATGCTGTAAAGGCTGCAGGTTAGAGCAAAGTGGAAGCCTGATGCAGGAGACAGTTCCTGAATGTCAGTGTATGTAGCCAGCTATTGGAAACAGGCCATATTTAGAAACACAGTATCATAGAACTATTGAGGTCTTAATAAAACTATTAAAGCATTTAAAAAATTGAATAGTATTGTTTTATCATTTACTAAACTGCTTTCAGTCACTTGTTGCAGAAAAAGTATTCTGCAGCTTGTCAAATAATCGGCAGATAGAAGGTTTGGTTTGGTTTGGTGATTTTTTTCCAATAAACCAACCTATATTTCACTAAGAAGTTACTGACTAAGAATTTTCTGGTTACTCTAAAGTGGCGCTACCTGGAGATTATTTAGAAGAAGAGAAGGAAGATACTGATGATGATGAAAAAATGATTAATGTAAACAAAGTCCTGGTAAGAAGATCATATAAACTAGCAAAACAAAGTGAAGTTGCAAAATATAGACATTCTGTTACCTCAGGATGGGGTATTAAAAATTTTATGTGAGGTGGAATCCTCCCTTTTACATATATTTTATATAATGTTTGTGGTCTCTACTCATAGTATTGTTTCACAGAGTCACTGTCTCCACACAAACCAACTGACTGGCTTATACATTCATACAAATTCAGTGGGGTTTTCCTAGTAACAGGATGGGATAAATGTTAGCTATGTCCTTGGAACAAAACCCTGTTCTTTGGTCATGCAATGGCATGCCTAGTGCTTATAGATGGGAGAGAAATGAAAGGGCTATCTATGGTGAGAAAAGAGTGGACTATAGAACACCTCAAGGACAAAGTCAGCTTGGCTCTTTTTCTGGCAATATTTGAATTATATAGGTTTGTAATACCAGCCTATTACTGTGTTAGAGAATGGAATTATAAAATACTCCTGTAAGGAAAAGATTTTAGTTAACAGTTTTTTTCTTCTAATGCATCAGGAAGGGTAAGATTGAAGAGAGAGGAACTATGCTGTACTATTCAGTCCCTGAACTAATCACGTTCAGAATTTGTACTAATTTATAAGCATGTTGTACACTGGAAACAAAACAGGTTATGAATAAAAAAAAAATAAAAGAAGAAACATGTTACATGTGGACTTCAGAATACTCATTTCAATTGCAATTTAGACAGTTACAGAGTAGAGCAATCTAAACTTTTGAAGAGAATGGTTGGTTCCTTTGTGAAAATGACTGTCAGTTAAGCACAACTAGGTAGTTTGGAAACCATTTCTCTCACCTGAATGTGACTGTGTGAATACTCCTATTTCCTTTGGAAAATGCCAAAATTATATGGCAAAGATAAGCATTTAACTTAATATGCATAGAAATTTCTTCAAGCACACTTCTGTCCTGGTTCGATGATGGAAAGGATCTGCTAAGGAAGAGTATTCAGAGTTTGCAGGAGAAATGTAAGTAGCAGAAGGTATCACTGGTGCAGTGGGAAACTATATACTACGTTTTAAGAATCCTCTTATCCTACTTGCTGCTCGCTGGTGACCTTTGTGATCACCAACATGGTGTTTAAAGATAGCCCACATATAGTTAAGTGCAGAAAATAAGTAAAGCCACAGCACTGTGTACAGATCGGCAAAGTCCCTTTCCAGTTCTGCCTGAATCATTCCTTTAAGACAGTTATGTTACAATTTAAACTTAGCAATTGATGATTATGAAAATGAACTATAATAGTAATGTGGTTTTTTGCTGAGTGACCAGTTGCATATAGGAAGTGACATGCTGATCATGGCTATTACACTTATCAACTCTGCCAACAAGTGTGAAAGATGGTCTCAGGTTAAAAATTAACTCATCCAGAGCATCACAGGCAAATAGCACATTGTCTTCCATACATGGCCATCAAATATCAAATATGAACATGGAAAATGCTCTTGACTTTATACATAGACTAGGATTTTCGCGGGTACTTAATTTCTGCTCCTAAGAGATTGACCCAGCCTAACTTCAGCCTCTTTATTATAACTGCTTGTAGCAAAATTCATCACCAAAGGAGAAGAGGAGAGTTTCCAGGAAGAGCAGGAACTAGGTAACAGCTAATGGGTGTTTTCATTGGCATTTCTAGTATTATACCATCACATTCTGGCTTGACATGCTGATCTGACATGAATTTCTCAGTTTCACTGAGCTCAAGACCAGGTGTTCTTTTGCCATTTGTGGGTTCATAATATACCTATTTGAAGTTTTCCATCTGTTAATCACTGCAGAATTGCAGACTACTGCAGAATAAAACACACAGTTGTTTGGGGGTTGTTTTGTTTTGTTGTTTGCTTGTTTTTTTTAAGAAAGCAGTTATTACCACTTTTCCAAACATGTTTGCTAATAACCTACTTTCATTTCCATTTCCTCTAGCTTTCAGACTTTTGTCAATGATGAAGCAGGTTCCATAGGCATGCCTCATCTCCTTCCATTTCAGATGTTGAAATTCCAGATTTTTTTTTCTCTGCTTTATTTTAGGAATCATATTTGCAGCTCTTTCCTTTTTTCTTTCCAGAACCCAGACTTGGACCCCATTACCTTACACGACAGAACCATGGTGAAGAACCACCTTTGGACAGTATGGTAGAGGACTCAGCAAAAGGTTAAATATAAGTTAAATTCTTCTAACTAGACAGTGTAAGAACAACATCAGTTCTAAATACGGTGGGCAAAAATGAAATGAAAAAGAAACTTGAAATCAAGAGACATTTTCACATCTTCATCTGAAAATCATATAAGAAGTAAGAACCTTTAGGCAAGCCCTTTCTTTGAGACACACAGTTATTAGGAGGTAAACAAACAAAAGTCCCAAGACAGTGAAACTCAGCATGGGGCATATTAGTAAGCTATAGAAAAAGTAATGAAGTACTTTGAATCTGAAAACATGCTTCTACCCCAAAACTTTGAAGAATGCTTTAGTTTGTGTGTCTCTTGTTTTCGTACCTCCAGTTACATTTTATTACTACTTTGCAGCTGAGACGGAATGTTAAGTGTATTCTCAAATGTACAGATGAAGTTCAGTTTCTACTAACTTGAATGGAAGACACACATTTGTGTGCAAAATCTGGCCTCTGAAATTGTGTGTGGTTTATCCATATTGACTGCTGGATGAAACAGCAGCATATGCTTTCTGTATCTCTGCGGGAAAAAAAAAAATAATGGGAAAAAACAAAACCCAAACAAAACAGTTTGTTTCTATTTCTGAATAGCTAGAAAAAAAATATACCAGCTTTGTTTCATTTTCTAAAGTGGGCTTTTAAGCAAAAGCATTTTTATAAACAAAACTGTAAGGAAGGAAATTATCCTAAAAGGTTCATTTCTTCTTTGAGTTTGTATATGGGATGATAAATGGTGAAATAAAAGGTTATTGCTTATATGTAAGGTTTTCCCTTGTGGAAAACCTCCAGTAATTACTCCAGTGACACTGGAGTATTACTGTATCTTACATCTTTCAGATCCAGAGCCAAATTTATAAAAGTTTATGAGAATGTCTCTGAATGTAATAGAAAAGCACAAATAGGGAGTTTCACCTTGATAGATAAAAGTAACTTTACGACTGCTTTGGAGCCCTTCTTTGACTGAGAATTAGTCATCACTTAAAAGCTTTAGAGTCCTAAATGAAAAAGATCTGATTGGTGCTGCTTATTAGAACAAATTGCCCTTAGGAAAGTTGAGAAGGTCTAGGAGAAACTGATTTTGGTTTAGAACTGTACAAACTATAGCAAAACTAGGGTACATATGTAGTCTTAAAAAGCAGTAAAAAACCCTTAAAATGTTAAGACAGAGTTATCAGCTCGCAGAGGGCTCCTAGTTTCATTCCTTTTCACAGAAGTAACAGTGTTGCAATTGTGTTGCAGCAGTCACACAGAAATTGGTTTAAATTCTAGAACAGCCAACTGCTAGCAAATAATTTGTAATCCCACTTGTTTCTCTTGAAACAAAAGAATTAGCTACATATTCAAATAACAGTCAATGGAAATGCACAAAATAGATGGACTTTTTTACTTAAATCGAAGACATTTTTATCATCAAACATGAGCATATAATCAATTCCTTATCTCAGTGACATCATATACCATCCACACAATGTATTAAAAAAAAAATCCAAATAAGAATATAGTATAACTTTCTTGATTGGTTTTGTGGTTTTGCACACAGTAAGTTAGGAGCATGTAGAATTGATGGTTCCATGGATGTTTTAGACCACCGCATCTCCTCAGAGGTGAAAAAATACGCTCTTTCATAATTCAGAGTCCGTATCTCAATATCTCCATAGTCCCTGGGGCCTGCTAAACTTCCATGAGAGTTACCCTTTATGATGGATACAAATCACATCTAGGATGATTGTAAGACAGGCTTTTGGCTAATTCATCAATAACTAAATGGATCTGGGTTTTCACAGGCCTAGTTCTTTTATGAGGAAGTGCTTATTTTTATTAGCAAATGGCACAGATATAAATAATTTTTATGTATCTTACTTTGTCCAGGACACTACCCACATGCATTCTAGTGGTGTCGTGTGCTTTACTGTTGTAGTGTCAGACACTGCTGACCCACTTAGAAAGAACACAGATCAAGAAGGCTACAAAGAAGATGTTAAAGTAAGAGTAATGCTGGCTGTGTCATGTACAACTCTTATCTGCTCCTTCATGTTTGTGTCATGCTGTTTTATAGCTTTCATCAAGTACAGAATGAAAAAGGGGTAAGTTCTCCAGTTATGTGCTGGGATTTATTATTTGGATAGTAAAACAAGGTGCTATTCCATAAGATTAAAGACTGCATGAAAACGTGATAAAAGCTCAGAAAGATTGTACACAGATATAGATAATTTGCTTCCTTTTTCCCCCAAAACTGAAAAGTGAAGGCAGAAATTATTAAAAAAATAAAAAATTACATTATTACCAAAGACAAGAAAAATAATATATGTACGAAACATTTCCTAGCTAGTTGAGATGCTCTCTCTTTTGTCAGTTCAAATATTGGGGGGAAAAAAGTAATTATTCGTCTTCAATAGTATCTGTTAAGTTTCTATTGGATTCCTCTGGATAGAATAATGTAATTATTTTTGTTCTGCATTTTAGGATTTTTTGTGATAAACTCAGATGCTCACAGGAAAAAAACAGAAACAATCTGTATCTTTCCTGGAACATGTGAAGAGCAGTCCTGATGCTTCTGTTTCCACAGCTGCAGAAAATGGCCTATGGGGTGAGAATGGGAAAAACACAATATCAGATACATCACCTGTCACAAACACTGTAGTTTATATACCACAAATTTCCAGTGCACCGAGTCTCCCCAGTAGTTTCTCAGATGAAGACTTAAATAGAGACCAAAACTAAGCAGAATCTCATTGACAGTGACTGACAAGCTTTCCAAATCAGATGCTGGTATTCACGCACTGTGTTTATACAAACATTATGATTCACTAAATTTGTAACTTGAAATTTCATGACAGGACAGAATAAACATTACATTCTGATAAGACAGTGATGAGACATTAAAATCAGACCACAGATATTTGCAGGCAAACATTAACTGCTTCATAATCAAGAACCAGGAGATACAGCCATAGCCAGAAGGCAGCTCCACATTATTCCTCACGCTGAAAAGGAACAGTTGGAATACAGTAACTTCTTAAATGAAGTCAAGCAATCCAACATTAGTGACACACACTGAATAATAATATAGTGATAGATCTCTAAACAATGCTTACTTTGTAAATCAGGATTATTCTTTTTTAGCAATAACTATCTTTTTAAACAAATACCCTTAGGTAAATGTATGTGAGCATACGTGCATTTTGGAATCTTTGTGTACATAACAGCCCTCTATGCTGTTTGTATGTATATAAGAACATGCAAGCCCAAATAACTGCTTCCCAAATGGAAGCAATACAAGATTTCTTTTTCTCCATGGTTTCTTATATATTGGTATTTAGTTATTATCTTTAGCACCTGACAGAGCAGCCTTCCCATTTCCAGCCAGCAGGGGTCATCAGCAGCCCATTTTCTGTTAATTTCTTCATTCTTTTCCTTGGTTTTCTTGGCGGTGGGTTGGTTGGTTGGGTTTTGGGGGTTTTGGTTTTTTTTTGTTTGGTTGGTTGTTTTTTTTTATTTGTTTTTCACGTTTTGAAATTGCCCCTGACTATCCAAAATTAAAGTCTTGCCTTACGGGTGCTACTTTAACTCAGCTCATCTGTATTGGCTGATAGCGTTGATGACTAAACCTACCAGAATTAGTAGGAAAAGAATACAGAATAGCATATGAAAAATGATGGCACTGTTCTGCAGATTCCCAGTTAGACTGGGAATTCACTTTGTGAATAGCAAGAGCAAGTCCAATCCCTTGCTCTTAAAAGCATGACAAAAATCAGTGAAGTTTCAAGGTAGGGCAGCAAAGATCATCAGAGTATGAAACTGCTTCCACAATAGCAGCCGTAAAAGTGGGCTGGAAGAGTATGTGTTGGTAGGAGGAGGGGAGAATCTATTATAAATATTGAGTGCCACAGGTAAAACAGATTGCAGTTGAATTTAAGTTGTGGATGCCCCCTCCCTGGCAGTGTTCAAGGCCAGGTTGGATGGGGCTTTGAGTAGTACGGTCTAGCGTGAGGCATCCCTGCCCATGGCAGGGGGTTGGAACTAGAATTTCTTTAAGGTCCTTTCCAACCCAAAACATTTTATGATTCTATGACTACCTGGTCACAGAGTACCCATAGAATTTATTACTCCAGTAATAAAAGCACGGAGCATCAAATGAAATCCACAGGAGCCAGGTTCAAAGCATGTAAGAGGTGCTGTCCTTGCAGTGTGTAGCGAGTAGACTTAGACATGCTGTTGCACGTTCTGAACAGGTAAGCTCAGCAAACCCTCTGCTCAGAGGCCTGGAGTGTACTCCAGGGGAGACGTGCATACTCCTGCTCTGTCTTCACAGCCCTCTGTTTTCGCATGGCTTCTGGCCGCTGCCGGAGGCAGAGCACTGGGGCAGACGCTCCTGGTGCGAACTCATCCCGACTTTTGCTTCCGTCGACAGGAGCTACTGCGTTCAGGGCAGGAGGACAGGCCCGCAGATCCAGGAGGCCTCTCGACGAAACGCTGGCTCTCCTTCTGTCCGGCCCAGAGGGCTCCTGCCGGCAGCCTTGACACCCAGCTGACAGGTACAGACCTGCAGCCGGGCACCCACCCGCGGAACGAGCAGCACTGCCCCGCGGAGAGCGGGTGTCCCGCCCGCTGCCACCTCACATCTTTTCCTGCAGCTAGGGCTGCAAGCCTGAGTCATAGCACGGCTCCCCGCAGCTCTGTTCTTTCCCCTAAGTGGAGGCGGGACACCCGCTCCCCACTCCGCCACCGCGAACACTGACTCACCCCTGCATTCCCTTCGCGGAGACATCTCCTCACTGGCTGGGGAGGCCCAGGCCCCTTCGCCTTTGCCAGCTCCTACCGCGGCTCCCTGTTCCCTTAGACGGGGCGGCAGTGCCACCCCATCCCTATCCCTGCCCTTCCCTTCCCTACACCTATCATCCCTTCCCTTCGCTGCACTCCCTTTCCCTTTCTTTCTTCCTTTCTCTTTCCATTTTCTTTTTCCCTTTTCCTTTTCTTTCCTTTCCCTTTTTCCTTTGCTTTCCCGCTCCCGTTCCTTCCTGCCCTGCCCGGCAGCAGCCACAGCCCCACATCCCCCTGACAATCCCGGCAGGGGAGGGGCTGGGGCCCGCGGCCCCGCCCCCTCCGCCCTGCCGCGCCCCGCTCCTATTCCGCTCCTATTGGACGGCTGATCCCGCGCACGGCGTTGAAGTGGGCGGTGGGCGGCCGGGGCGGTCTCCTCAACTCTTCCCGCGCTGCCCTGCTGCTCGCTGGGAGCTCGAGGCCTGGGATGTGGCCCGTCGGCTGCTTCGGCATCCCGTGCAGCTCCTTCAGCCGCGGGCCCACCCAGCAGCCTCAGAGCAGCTGCCGCCTCAGGGCTTTCCAGCGCAGGGAGCAGCCTCTCGCCGCGCAGCAGCCCGGCTCCGCCCGACCGCAGGGTGAGGATGGCCAGGCATGCCTCCCCAGTGGGAGCCGGGATCCACCCGTTCTGCGGGGATGCCGCTTTCCAGGTAGTGGCGAGATGTGCGCCTGGCTTCGTTCCTGCCCTTTGGAATGGTGAAATAGGGCACTGTAGTGCCGTGTGTGAGAGCTGAAGAGTGAAATGACAGGGTAGGAGGTCTTCACGGTCTTGCTCTTAGGAGACTGTGAAAAGTAATTAATTAACCCCCCCACCTGGACCAACAGCAGTGCGAACACTAGGGTTAGGTTATAAACCTGTGTTTGGGGTTGGGCTTCAGGAAGCTGGACTTGGTAGGATAATTGGTGTGTGATACTACAGTTAAAACTGGTGACTTCTTCCATTTCTGGTAGGAGGATGTCACCTGTCCTTCACAGGGTGTGACCCTTAGCTTTTGTGTTGGAGGGAAGTTGTAATGTTGGCTGGTTTTAATCTTCGTTAAGGTACTTGCTTTGCTTCCAGATTGGCAGTCTGCAAAGGGCCTGCTTTGCACATCATTCTGAAATTTCCAACTGAAACTTCAATGAGAGGAGTATGCCTCTCCCATCGTGCTCCGCTTTCTTCTTAAGCATGATGAGTAATAACGTTTGTAGCCAGCTTTCTTGATGATTGTGATATTCCTCTTATGACTGAGTTTTCACAGGACAGTAAGCTAGATCTCATCAGCAGGAACACTGTTTTCAAACTGCTGGCAATAAAGCCAAATGGGCATGAGAGGCAAGGGCTGAGTGCTAAAATGACTTTAAAATGGAAACCATGAAATTTTGCAATACTAAAATACTAGCAACCTACGCTAATAGAAAAAAAACACCTGATTCTGCTTTCTGATTACTTTGTAATCAGCTACCAGCAGCTACTTTGTAAGTAGTTGCTTTCTGATTACTTTGAACTGAGCTGGTCTCATTCCTATGGTTTGCTGTGGGTTACATTCATTGCTACTAGGTAAAGAGTTACTAGCTAAGTATGTAGTCCAGAGAATCAAAGTGTCTCTTCATCTGGCTTTTAAGCAGATGCTACTGATTTTCTGCCTTCACAGCTCAGGAATGCCAAAACTTCAGTCAGAATACAGATTCCCTCTCTCTGTATTCACTCTTCCAATGAAGCAGGTACTTGATTTCCACAACATGGGAAACTGTTTTTCACAGTTCACTGTAAATGGTAATGTGGTTTTATATTCTTTCTCAAAGAGTTCTGCCCTTGTGATGCAAAGGGTTAACCGATGTACAGGGGGGTTAGGGTTAAGCCTCTTGCTAACTCAACAAATGTGTGCTCAACACTTACCGTGCTTGCTGGAACAGGGTGGAGGGACCAAGGCTATTGATAAGAGGAAGGAACAGTAACTCCTGTTCTCTGGACCCCTAAACCGACTGAAACCAGATTTGTGGTTTGGACAGTGACTAAATCACCAGTGAACATGCGCAACAACTAGAGGTGAGAAGTTCAGGGAAGACTTGTTTACTTTGTCTTGAGACCCCCGCCCACGACCATCAGGAGACCCTACGCAAGCAAGGACCTTTTACCTCATTATAATATGAAGCGGGGATAGGTCATGAATATGTATAAGCGTGTTACATAACCTCATGAATAGGTAACAGTTTAGAGGATAAACATGAAGGAGAACAACCCTGAGGTGCGCATACCTTTGGAGCAGCGATCCCCCATGTGCCTCAGCGCTGAATAAAGAATACCTACTTTACAACTTTAACGAGTTGTGGAGTCTACCTGCATATCACTTGAGCATAAAAAACTGCAGCCTGGAAATAGTACTGGGATAATTTGATGGTAGTCAGGAAGAAAAAGAAAGAAAACCACCACCAGTGTGGGGTCATTCGCTTCCTGACTTCCACTTGCTGATTTTGCAGGTAGCTGTGCTGCATGATGGGACTCGTTGAAGGCTGTCCATATGTATTTACTTTCAAGTGACCAGCATCTGTCATTAAATGCAATTTCTTCTTTATTCTGCAATTTCTTGCAAGCTTGAGCCCCAAAGGTTCAATCAGGCTCTAGTTAGTCAAAGAAAAAGCCTACAACATGGCTTACTGCATAGTCTGAATAGCACCTCACCTGTATAAAAGACGTGGAAACATTACTTTTCTGAGATATATTTCTCTGGCAATAACAATTCTGGTAAGACCATAGTGGCTTAGAGTATTTCTTTGAGGTAGTCAGATGTACTGGTTTTGTCTGGGATGGAATGAGTTTTCTTTGCAGCTCTGTATGGTGCTAAGGTTTGCGTTTCTGCCCCAAACAGTGTTCATAACACACCCATGTTTGTTATTGCTGAAGAGTGTTTGCACAGCCTCAGGATCTCTGTTTCTCATGGTGCCTTTCCAGCAAGTAGGCCAGAGGTGGGTGAGAAGTTGGTAAGGGACACATCCAGGAAAGCTGACCCAGGCTAACCAAAGGGATAGTCCAAACCATATGATGCTGTGTGTGGCAATAACACCTGGGGAAAGAAAGAGGAAGAAGAAGAATTTGAAGTAATAGGCACAATGAAGGCCTGCTTTCCTGGAAGTGGCTAAACGTCTGGAATGGGTGTTGTTCCCAGGCAATGGGAACTAGTGCATTAATTCCTCACTTTGCTTTGCTTGTGTGCACAGCTTTGCTTTACCTAGTAAACTGTCTTGATACCAATCCACAAGTTTTCTTACTTTACCCTTCTGATTCTCTCTGCCATCCCACTGGGTAAGTAAGAGCAGCTGCATGGGCTGCAGCTGCCAGGCAGGGTTAACCCACAGCAAAAGGGTTGTGAGGCTTTGTGGTACTGCCCTGTGTTAATGTATTGTTTTTGTGTTAATGTCGAAACTGCTTATTTTGAACAACCTGCAAAGGATCCTGTTCACTAACAAAATGTGACTTTCTAGTATTTCCCTGAAATGTGTTGTAGTTACTGATACAATCACTGTTGAAATCAAATGGTGATGTGTTTTTAAATGACAATGTAAATAGCATTTTTGTTAAAATACACAATTGATGCTAACAGATCTCATGGATGACAGGGTCTCTAAACAAGTAATAAAACTCTGGGAGGGCAATAACCACTGCATTTTGTGATTTGCCAGAATATCTGTTTGAGGGTATAATGCATTGAGAAAGTATCAGGCTGAGTTTTGTTATGCAGTCCACAGCCTATAAAAGCTAAAATGATAGTGGTTAGTCACTTAAACCTGCAGTTGGAAATTCAATTTCTGAGGCTGCTTGAAGTTTTTGCAAAATTGTGAACATGCCTGGCTTGAAATGTTACTGGGTATTTGAGACAATGAAACTTGTAATCTTGTGCATGATTAATAAAATAGATTATTTCTTTTTTCCTCAGCTGATATCTGTAGATTGCTGTTTAGGATGTCTTAATTTAAGGTCATAGCTATGCCTTTCCTCAAAGAGAGGTGGGTGATTTACAAAAACTCAAAAGGATTAAATTAGCAGTTGGTTCAGTCAAGAATTAAGTTAAGGAACAGAAGGGGTTCTCACAGTACAGTATTCCTGATTAAACTATTGGAAACAATTTAACCCTTGAAAATTATCTTACAGAAAGACACTTTTTCCTAAGGAAACAATTGTCCACTTTAGCACATGCATGTCACATGGTTTCAGTTTCCAAATATACAAATGATGGTTGTTGGCTTTTAATTAGACTTTGTTGATTATAGTTGTCCAGCAACTGTTATTTGATATAAACTTCTTCAAAATTATTTTGCAGGTCTCTCTTCTGAAACAAATGAGGATGAAAATGCTAAACAGCAGTTTAACCCAACCACTCCTCCATGTGGAAATTGGGGTGGGAACTCAAAGATGCCTCCATTTAAGATTGGATGTGCAATCACAAAGATGCCAAGAAACCCAGTGAAACCTGAAACTGAATTTTCAGACTCTGATGAGGAAGGTAGACTTGTCATTGATCTGCCACCAGAAGTTCCTAATAAAAAGCCAAGAATAAGAAGGAACTGTAGAAAAGCTAACAGGGACAAAGAACTGACTGCTGTAATGTGTGCAGGAAAATTACATGATGATGCTATAGCAGACATTCTTGGGAGTAGCGAAGATAAGTCTGAGGAAATTACTTTGCGGAAAAACAGCAAAAGTTTAAATAAACTTGGAAAACTAGGCAGTGTTTCTCCAAAAGCAAGAGAGATTTGTTTGCCTGATGTAACCACTGGTATGTTGAAGGGTTTGGGGGAAAGAGATGCCCTTACTTACAGTGAGGACAAATATGTGTCTTCAGCTGCTTCTACTGAGGCAGGCATGGAGAAGGGAATTCTGAAGCAAGGAAATGCAAAAACTAATATGTTGGTGAAAGCATTTCAGGAGAGTACTACTAATGAAATCTGTGTGAAGAGCAGAAGAGTAACAGAGTCTCCCTTGTGTACTGGTCACTCATCAAAAGATGGAACTGCAATTGGAAGACCTTATAAGGAAATTATAAATACAGAGAAAGGACAGAGTATAGAAGAAAGTGGGGGTAATGATAGTGCAAAAGATACATACCTCTATTCAACTTATTACTTAAATAAGAAAGAAAGTGGTCTGGGTTCATCCACTGAGGAAGCGGAAACCAGTGGGGAGGACACAGGGCTCTCTGAACCAGATGATCCTTTAGAGGAGTGTCGAAGAATTTTTGATGAGTTTGAAAGAGAAGCAAGAAAGAAGGACCATGATCAGCAGGTAATTTGTTTTGTTTTCAGTAGTTGGGGTTTTCTTTTCTGAGCATATTAGGGCAGGATGTGATACCTAGTCAAGTACAAGTACTCTTTCAAAAAATGTGTTAGTAAGGGTTAAATATTTGAAACTTCATGACCAGTAGACAGAATCATAAGGAACACTTAATGATTCTGTAGTTTAACAATGGGTGAGCTCTGCTTCCTGAAGTAGAAAATTGCTCTGAATAGTTCCCTGCTATATGGGTTTCTATTACTTTTACTGTAATAAGCAAAGCTTTAGAGGCAGTTGAGTATTCAGTAGTCTCCCATTCTTATTAACAAATGTAGCTACATTGAGTACCACTGCCTCAGGTTCAAAGTATTGTGTTCTGAATGTAAAATAACTGTCTAACGATGGAATTGTAATTTTTCCTGGTGAGTTTTTGACTGTGTATCCTGAAACATTGGAATGAATGGGTCGTAAGAATATTGCTGAAGTTTAGCGCTTCATAAGATTTGGTCTAAATAGTCTATTCTTGTTTTTAATAGGCTTATGGAAGAAATGTAGATCTCAATTTGTTAGAAACCAAAGTAAATGCTCCTGGGCAAAAGAGAAGAATTGCGCACATGGCAAAATTTGATGTGAGTTATAATCTTGTGATAAACTGAGGATCAGCATAAAATATGTTGAACTTGAGGTTGGCAGGATTCTGTAATCTAATTGAAAAATATTCTGAACTTAGAGCAAATGTCTCATCAACTCTTCTGTTAAAAGCTGTACCAAGTAGTACTTGGAGCTGGTTCCAGATGCAGGTAAAACAAGCTGCTGACAAGAGCAGCTAACGCTAATGGGAGCTGAAAAGTCAGTCTGGAATGGAGGTATCTACCATGAAATTTCAGATACAGCGCTTGTGTGTCACCTTCACTTTTTCTATTTTTACAGTGCTTTAGGTGGCAATGTCAATAGAAGGCATCATTCTTTAAGCCCACCTCCATTACCCCTAAGCTGTTTCAGTTTAGCATTTTCCTGTTGTCCTGGGTTCAGCAGTAGCAGTCATTTTTCCCCTTCTTGGTAGCTGGTGTAGTGCAGTGTTTTGACTTTCAGCTCGGGAACAGAGCTGATAGCGATGTTTTGGTTTGGCCAAGGACTTTGTGAGCCTCATGCTCTGCCAGGGGGGAGGGGAAGCCAGGAGGAAGCAGAGACAGGACACCTGACCCAAACTGACCAAAGAGGTATTCCATACCACAGCACGTCATGCCCAGGATGTAACTGGGAGTTAGCCGGAAGGGCTGGGAGACTGCAGGGTTGGAGGAGGTATCGGTCGGAGCTTGGTCGGGCTTGGGGGCTGAGTTATCGGTCAGCTGGTGCTGAGGTGTTGTATTCTCTTCCCTTGTTATTTCCTTTATCATTATTATCATTGGTGGTAGCAGTAGTGATTTGTGTTATACCTTAGTTACTAAACTGTTCTTATCTCAACCGGTGGGAGTTGCATTCTTTTCGATTCTCCTCTCCATCCCTCCGAGAGCAGGGGGAGGGCAAGAAAGGGGGGGGAAGTGAGCGAACGAATTACCTGACTGGGTTTAAACCACGACAGTTCTTTTTGGCGCCCAACGTGGGGAACGAAGGGTTGAGATAACGACAGATCTGACTGGATTAATAGTCACTCGTCACAATGCTGATTTATTGGCTCTCAGAGTTGTTCTTGTTGATCTCACAGCTTCAGACCGTTGTAACTTACTTAGAGCCGGTATTTGCTGTGTTAGTGTTTATCAAGTGTGGGGCCTGGGCTAAGGTTCTTGTCTCACTGTGCTTTATGGCAACGGCTTGTAATACGGGCGGGCTCCAGCAGCAGGGCGGGACGGACGTGGCCGTGGACTTGTACCTGGCCGTCCGGCTGCTCTTCACCGTCCTGGCCCTCGCCCTACTCTCCATCTTCGTGAGGCTGCGGGGAGCCGAGGGGGAGCGGCCCCGGGAGCCGGCGGCAGCCGAAGCGGCTCAGGAGAGCGGCCCCGGGGAGCAAGCGGCGGCGGGAGCGGGGCCGGAGGCCGCGAGGGGACGGCTGCCGGTGGAGGAGGTCGGGGCGGTCGAGGAGCGGAAGGAAGCGGCTGCAGAGCAGCGGGAGAAGGCGGCGGAGGAGCCGAGCCCCGCGGAGGAGCCGAGCCCCGCGGCCGAGCGGAGCCCCGCGACGGCCGAGAGCATTTCCCGGAAGGCGCCCGCCGAGCCCCAGGAGGATGCAGGAGACCACGCAGCATTTCCCAGCAAGGCAGAGGAGGAAGAGCTGGACTCAGGAAAAGAGAAGCTGGTGGTGGGAGAGCCGGCAAGCACAGCAGCTACACCAGCCCCAGTGACAAGTACAGCAGCATCGTTTGAGAGCTCTGAAGGCTCTGAATGGCCTTTGGGTATCCTTGGGACCTGCCTGCTGATTGTGATGGGGATCAGCATGTTGGCACACACACAGGCTGTGTTCTACCCACCACCATTTTGTCTGATCTCAAAAGTTAAGCAGAGTCAGGTTTGGGTCTTGTCTGGGGTTAGACAACAATATAGGGGGACCAAGAGATTTTCCCCAAGGCTGGAGAGTCATGAGTGGCAGGGTGTGTGGGACAGTATGGGCAAGTATCTAGTCCACTGGGCCCCTCCAGTGCTTTGGAAGCATTGGAGATGGAAGGCAGCTGCATGGAGTCCCCAGCAACAAGCTGCAGAAACTGCTAAAGGGGACAGTGAATTATTTTAAGCCTGGTGGGCCCATGGCACTTCAGGCCATCAGAGCAGAGATGCAACATAGAGATGAACTCATGATCGAGGGGTGGACTTAGCAATGGACACTATTGCCCAGGTTATTCACAAGTGTGAACACTGCACACAGTCTCTCCTGCTCTGGAAGACTGTTACAAGAGGTGGAGCCTGACATCATGGACCAGATGGACTCAGCAGCTTTATAGGGACTGGTCCATGCACTAAGATAAGAGTGATGGTATATTGAAAATGTGGGATCTGAGCATGATGTGAATGGTATGGAATAAGGGGTGGATAATGTCCTGGGTTCAGCAGTAGCAGTCATTTTTCCCCTTCTTGGTAGCTGGTGTAGTGCAGTGTTTTGACTTTCAGCTCGGGAACAGAGCTGATAGCGATGTTTTGGTTTGGCCAAGGACTTTGTGAGCCTCATGCTCTGCCAGGGGGGAGGGGAAGCCAGGAGGAAGCAGAGACAGGACACCTGACCCAAACTGACCAAAGAGGTATTCCATACCACAGCACGTCATGCCCAGGATGTAACTGGGAGTTAGCCGGAAGGGCTGGGAGACTGCAGGGTTGGAGGAGGTATCGGTCGGAGCTTGGTCGGGCTTGGGGGCTGAGTTATCGGTCAGCTGGTGCTGAGGTGTTGTATTCTCTTCCCTTGTTATTTCCTTTATCATTATTATCATTGGTGGTAGCAGTAGTGATTTGTGTTATACCTTAGTTACTAAACTGTTCTTATCTCAACCGGTGGGAGTTGCATTCTTTTCGATTCTCCTCTCCATCCCTCCGAGAGCAGGGGGAGGGCAAGAAAGGGGGGGGAAGTGAGCGAACGAATTACCTGACTGGGTTTAAACCACGACACCTGTCATGAATAGAATGCTGAATCTGATAGCAAAATTCCATTTGAAGAAGCAGTGTGTTAACTTTAACACGATCTTGCTGTGCTTTGGAACTACCTGAATATTAACTCTGGTTTTGTGTGTGTGCATATTAGGTACCCAAGAAAAATGAAATGGTGTTTTTCAAGGCATCTCCTTGGCAGCAGCATCATAATGGAGGAATTCAGCAAGCAAGCTTCTGCTCTCCAGTATGTACCTGGTTTCCTAAACAGAATTCTGCATGCCCCAATTACAGTGAGGCTAAGTTGTGACAGTGATGCTGCTTTTGTTCCCTGTATGCAAAACTCTCCTTCTCCTTGGTGGTAGCACACATTTAAATGCTGCTCTTAAAGGATATTTCTTAGCAAATAAATGTGATATAGACATATGACTCAAATTACCACGTTTGGTACGCAATGCATTTTTGTAACTTTTTGGACTTTTTTGGGTGTGACAGTACTATAGTTAACCTAACATAAGGCAGATTGTCAAAAGTGATGATCTTCTGTGATGAATTCTATGTTATTTGAAAATAAACAAAATGTGATGTGTAAAGACTCTACATTGCATAATCTAACAAAGGCTACAGATTCCTAAAAATTTTTTTTTTCCCAGTGTGGTTTACTGGGTCTTTAGTTTATGCTCTGAGTGAAGTACTGTCTGAAATAAAGGCCAGATGGAGAGCATGACTTAAATCATAACTGAACTGCTAGTCCTTGCTAAACAACTGAACTTTCTCTAAGGAAAAAAAAAAATTAAATAGTTTTAATATCTGCCATAACCTTGAGGAGAAGACTGATTAGTTTAGTTCAAGTAGGGAAAATCTCTACAGCTACTATTTCTGATGGTAGTTCCTGGCTCCCAGTATTGTGAAACTGCAGTTTTCTGAATAGCTATTCAGCAATGTTTGATTTTTAATTAGGGTTTTTCCTCTGAGGGTGGACAAAACAAATGGCTGAATTAATCTTACTTTTGGGGGGTTATTTGTTACATATTGACCACACTACCATGAGGTTTGGTTTTGCTTTATTTTTTTTTGAGGTTTTTATGTGGAAAAGGCCTTCCATTCCAGAATCGGGATGCAAAGTACCACAGGAGACAAGGCAGCGATATTTCACTTGCTTTCTCACGGAATGTGTCAAAACATGTAGCACAGTGAATGAGGCTATTAACAAGGTTTGTTATGGTTTATAGTTCTTTCCTTACAAATCTTCAACTTAATTAAGTCAGCAGTTTTATCTTGCACAATGTGTTGGTGGCATTCTTTTTATTTGGTTAATTTTTTTAAAGTAAAATATTTCAGGAAGCAGAATTTAAAATGTACTCAATCTTACACTTGCCACTGTTATCAATCACTTTCCTCTAAGCAAAAGTATTTGTCTTTACCACTGTTAAAAGCTTCTAATAAGACATGCCATTTTGGTAATAAAAAAGAAAAACTTTTGCTTCTGCAAAATAAAAGTCTTGTAAATACTGAAAGCTTCCTGGAATGTAATAATGGCTTTGAGATTTATTCAGAACAGAAGGAAAACATCTGTGAACCACTTTGAGCCTTTGGTCTTGTCTTTTTGGTTTTCACCACACCAAGTACTACTCCCAGCAGATATTGTCTGACAAGCACAAATATCCCAAGCTTAACCTTTAGGTGATCTAAATTTCTTACAAGCTGGAAGTCAAAAGAATTTATGGAGGTGTGCTGATAAGACTCTGTGGGTGTTTTTGATTACACTTCGAATGGAAGCTTGGAAAACATCACATGATACTACTCGGCTGTTACTGTGTTGCTGTATTATGTAGCACATCTTGGTATGCCTGATTTTCATTTTCATGAAGTAATGTTCCTTTTACCTTCCCTTTAACTTCATAGAACCATAGAATGGTTGGGTTGGAAGGGCCCCTGAAGACCACCTAGTTCCAACACCTCTGCCATGGGCAGGGACACCTTCACTAGACCAGGTTGCTCAAAGCCCCATCCAGCCTGGCCTTGAACACTTCCAGGGATGGGGCAGCCACAGCTTCTCTGGGCAACCTGTGCCAGTGCCTCACCACCCTCACCCCCATAGTGAAGAATTTCCTCCTGTGATAATTCTCAGGTTCATCTGTTTTCCCCTTTCCCTTTGCTTAGGGCTTGTAACTTATGAAATGTACATGCTGTAGTGATTGTTAGAAGGCACTGTTTACACCTGAAATAAGCTGCACTTTTTGTGAACTACCCATGTAGTGTTAACAGTAAAATAAAACCAAGGAAGAAGATATCTTCTTCCCCAGAAGATTAATGTGTGTACTCTTTATTTTGAGCATGTTTCTTCCTCACTAAAAGGTGCTGGACCTTCCTCTCCTTGCTGTTCTTACAACTTTACAGAAAGAAAATTAAGGAGACCTTTCTTCACCTCCTTTGACGCAGGATCAGAAAAAGTTGTCTTTAGCCAGGGAATGTTTACCAGTAGGAATGGTTACCCTGAGAGTGCTCAAATCTTCCCAGGGATTAGATTTCAATTCTGAGTTGAAGCACTGATTTTTTCCCAACAGATCTTTGCTTCACAGGTGCTGAATTTGTCTTCTAAACTGCCACATGCCCAGAAAACTTGTTCTAATAGTTCATTATCCTGGCTGTGAAAAACTGTGGGTTTTCTTTCTAACCTGAACCTTTGTAGCTTTAGCTTTCACCCAATGGATCATACATGTTTTACATCGGCTAGACAGAATTCAGAATTCTGCAATCAGATCTTTTCTTTTTTTTTTCTTTTTCTGTGAAGGTATTTATAGACCAAAAAGTTCACCTCCTCAATCCCTGTGATAAATTAATTAGATTCCAATAATGGTCTCATAATTGAATTATCTAGATTTAAGACTTTCTCTTGTACTCCTACTTAAAATACTTCTGATATATGCAGTGATAACACTCAGCATCTTTGCTACATCAAACAGAGCTCTAATATTCAGGTAGGTTTGTAAAATACTCTGTAGATCCTCTTTGGTAACAGTGCCTTTCACCATAATGCCTCCCTCTCTGAGCAGGACTTTAAATCCATCTGACTTTGTGTCTCCTGTCGCACTTCAAATTTAGGACATTACTTGCATGTGTAACTATCTCTAGGTTCGCAGTCTTAGATTCTAAATGGCAGTGCTTTTTGTAGAACATAGAGTGCTCACTAAATGTCTATTTTTTTAATTTTTTTTTTATTTTTAATGTAGGCTCTAATAGAAGAACAATCTATTTATGATCGCATTGGCAATAAAAAGATGTACCTGAATCTTGCTGTGAAGACTCTCAAAAAGCTAAGAGGTCTTGGTAGTTTTGCTTTCAATTAAGATTTATTTTTTTTTTAAGGGGTTCTAAGTGTAGAAATTAGAACAGCAGAAAAATGTCTGAAAATCATTATTTAGTTCAACTTTACTAAAGATATTTCTGTATCTTTAAATCCTTTTATAGAAATATATCACTGAAATAAATTGGTGGCTTGATTTATAAATATTTGCTTAGGATATTAACAGGAAATCTGAAATTGAGAAGAAATACTAAAGACATGTTTTCCTGCCTTTAGGGCAACCTAATAACAGCAGATCTTCCAGTGGCACAGGATCCCTACAGTCAGAGGAAGAAAAAGGTAAAGAAAGGGGAAGCAAGATGTCAGTTCTCCACTGCCACCTATAAACGGTCTTATTTCAGCATGACAATGTTGCTCTGGTTTTGGTCATCCTTCATCTATTTGCCACTGCAAGGATTTTGTACACAATTCCCCGTTTATAACTGAAAACTCTTTCATAAGGGGAAAACGTTGGAACTTTTTTTTGGGAATACAGTGTTTTTTAGTACTGCATATCTAGCCTTTCTGGGATAGCTAGTGAATCATCATGCCTATATAGTGTCTATTTTGAGTAATGCTTCACCTCTAATCACCTCTAATTGCTCTGAGATACAAGCATATATGTTTTGGTGTAAACTGTAGTGGTCAACTTGTAATTTTGCTTTGGTTTTATTTTGGAAGTACTAGTGTTTTTAAGTGCTACTTACAGTTGTTTTAATGTTGCTTAAGCTTTAGGTTTGTTTATGTTTTGGCTTTTGGTTTTGTTTTTGGTTTTTTTTTTTTAGCATTTACAGATGGTGCTCTATATGAACTCTTAAAAAAGTATCTTCTGACTAAGGAGCAGTTGAACGAAAATAACTTCCCTCGACAACATCCTGGAAAAAATGGTAGTGCTATTCTTACTGGTGTAAAAAATTGTGGATGTAATGGTAAGTGCCTAGTAGGCTGCAACAAAATTGAATTTCAATCAGTTGTTCACAGGACAGTAAAATACATGGGTATAAAATTATACATTATGCCTGTGTTCCGTCTTTACTGCCTAGACTGCGTGTGAATTCAAAGTTTTCAAAGCTAAACAATGAGTCTTCATATGTCTTTTTACATTTTTGTTCCAACATAGTAATTAAAGTCGTAGGTAAACTTGAATTTCTTGTTGTGCTATAGAGGAACTTTTTCTTGATACATGGCTTGTCTTGAGAGGCTTCTTGTATATTGATATTCTGTTTTCTCATGTGCTGTTCATGAAACTTCTTTTATACTTCAATTCAGCATTTTTTAACTTCATGGCAAGCCACCTAGGAAATACACTCTGTTTATTGGTTTATTGGTTTTTGGGGTGTTTTTAGCTTTCAAAAGGGTCTGCTGTAGGTGTGGTGAAATATATGCTGTTACTTCTTCGGGAACACATCAACGTAAAGAGGAATGCAACTATCATTCTGGTGGAGTATTGAAACAAAGAGGTAGGTGACCTTGGCATTCAGTCTTTATGGAATCTGTTAAATGTTATGACATCTCGTGTCAAAGCTGAGCAAGATCAAAGTAGGAACTTTTTTTCCTATAAGGTTCAGCTGAGATACATTCTGCTGTTCTTCTGGGAATGTGTCTAGCTAGTAAAGCCTGTTTTCTCCGAATATGCCCTAACTTTAGGAAAGCTGATATGAATAAAACTGTGTGGGAAGAGGGTGGCCTTGCATTGACTTCTAAGAGAGCCTTGTCATGGTTTCTAAGAGACACCTTAAGTACTCAGAATCAGTCTTAAATATGCCTCTCACAGAGAACCTTCTAGAACATAGTGCAACTTTCTCTTTCTTATTTATTGGTATTTCTTTTTTACAAAAACCTTATCTTGGGAGGGAACAATGTAGAGTTTGTCATCTTGGCATAGGTGGCACTCGCTGTTTTCCACAGTGCTGTTTCAGGAGAAAATGGAAAGGAAATTTGAGAAGCCGAGTGAGGATACTGATTTGTTTTTGCTGGTTGCTGCTACTACTGCTCAACTACCAACTTTTCTTTTTGTCAGTACCTGGTGGTGTAGAAAAACGTTACACCTGTTGTGAGAGAGTAGTTGGGTCTCCTGGATGTCAGATTGCAAAGGTAGGAGTAATGTTCTAAGAAGATTTACATAAAGCAGTATCTCACTGTCCTTTTGATTTTATAAAAAGGTATGGCTCAGTGTTAATGACTTGGTACAAGCCTTTTAGGTTTACTTATTAGTGTTCACTAAACTATATGACACATGCTGACAAGAAATATTATATATATATTCCCAAGTCTCTTAGAGAAACAAATTTTCTGGCAATTTGTGTAAGATCTATCTAGTAAACTTGCACTTAAATACCAATGGAAACTTTGCAGCTTCATGTTCATGATGGGAGAAGGGAGAAATTGGAAGGCTTCATGAAGACGTTAATTAAATCACCACCTCTTGATGGAACCCATGATGTATATGCTCTGAACTGCGAGATGGTATGTGCAACCTAAAAACTTTGGTTCAGCTAATAGAAAATTATATTGCTTTTTTATGAAGCCATATCCTAGTTGTAGTAGTTTGGCACTGAAGTCTCTTAGGTCTGCAGAACTCTGACTAGACCTTTCAGTATGACTAGTCATCCTACAAGACTGACCTTTAGTATTGTGGGCAAAAATATTTGGATCTGTTGACTTGGTAGCTTGTTGTGCTTTATGAACAACTTGCATAATGTAAGGAAGCATTGTTGTGTAAATGCTCATTAAATGTACTTTTTTCTTTAGTGTTACACAACCCGTGGCTTGGAACTAACTAGAGTCACAGTGGTTGATCCTAAACTACAGGTTGTGTATGATGTATTTGTTAAACCAGATGGTAAAGTTGTGGACTACGATATAAGGTATGCTACTTACTCTATAATACTTCAGGATTAGATTTAATAAATTGGCGGATAACTATATAAGAAGAAACATGCTTCTCCCAAATGCTATTTTTAGTAACATAATCAAAGACATTCAGTCACCCATGAGGCTTTTGTTGTTACATGCTCAATTAAGAACAGTTCTTCTTTTTGCCTAGTTCCACCTTTTTTTTTCCTTTTCACATTGAAAGACCTTTTTTCCAATTCAGAAAAAAAAAAAATGTTAAACCTCCCAGAATTTGCTCAGTTCCCTAAGGTGACAGAAGCAAATGCAAATTTAATCTGTAAGTGTTGTCTCACAAAAAAAGCAATATAGTCATAAGCCATGCATTGAGGTCATCAGACTGTACAGCTTAATAAGATTTGTCTGTATTTAGTGTAGATCTTGTATTTGTTCTTCATATTGGGTTTTGTCATTAAGACCTGAAAGACACCTTTTTGATTCCTGTTAGTTCTCTGAAGTCCTGCAACAGCTCGATGAGGAAACGCAGGTTTTGAGCCTCACTGTAAAGAATTTGGAGGAGAACCAATGTAATGTGTTCCTATTTCAACACCAATATTTGCTTGCTCAGAGTCCTGTCTTTTGGTCCATGCTTAAACATGCTTAAGTCACTTGTAGTGGTAGAGCTAAGTTAATATCACCTACCTTAGTTTATCTTATACTACCTAGGTGAAAAGGAAGAGAATGAAAAAATGTTTTACACTGACTTCAACACCGTGTGATTTATGTTTGTTGTTTTTTGTTTTTTTTTAAAGCTGGCTAGAGTTAACTTTAGATGCTGGGGAAATGATCACTGCAAACCTACTTCTAGGTATTTCTTAGTATTTCTGTCAATGAAACTCTTTTGATCTCTTTTTTAGACTCTCTGGAGTAAAGAAGAATGATCTGAAAAATACCACAACAACTCTTCGGGCTGTACAGGCGGTACTGCTAAACTTGTTCAGTGTGGATACAATTTTAATTGGACACAACATGGAAAACGACTTATTTGCTCTCAAGGTAAAGTAGCTGGTTTTGAATCCAGTTTTAGGAGGTGACTACTTGTTTTTACTGTATTCTAATAAATTTAAGAAATAAAAAGAATGTTTTATTTCAGCAGATCAATGGGTATGAAAAAATAATTAAATGTACTTGATTGTTAAATGATAGCTGTATTAAAAGTATTTCATATCAGGAAGAGATGTCTATACAAAATACACTATGGTAAACATCTTCACATTTCAGCTTCCTACTCTGCTGTTTAGTGCTTCTAATTATGGAACCATACATCACTACTGAATAATATTGTCTTTATTTGTGGGTTCACAGAAACCTACATTTGTATGTTTTCTGATCTTGCAGAACTCATGACACCCTATGCATAAAAGGCAGTGACAATTCAAGTAACACTAAGGTATTCTCTTAGAATTGCTGTAAATAATTGTGCTGTCTGTCAAGTAGTTACCTTAGGTACCAGAAATGTGTGGATTATGCTATTAAATATTAAAGGCAGCAGTATTCCATCAGAAGCATAGCTATCTGCCCAGGAAACCTCTTATGGTGAGGCACTGGAACAGGTTGCCCAAAAAACTGGCAAGTACTCCATCCCTGGCAGCGTTCAGGCCAGGTTGGACAGAGCCTTGGGTGACATGGTTTAACGTGAGGTGTCCCTGCCCATGGCAGGGGGGTTGGAACTAGATGATCTTAAGGTCTTTTCCTAACTATTCTATGATTCTAAGGATGCAAACAACACTAAGCCAAGTTTTTTCCTGTGGTGCTCAGTGCAGGGCTTAAGGCAGCAGGCACAGACTCAAATACAGGAGGTTCCCTCTGAACACCAGGAAACAGTTTTTCACTGTGAGGGTGACCAAGCACTGACACAGGTTATTGAGAGAGGTTGTGGAGTCTTCTCTTTTGGAGATGCCCAAAAACCATCTGGACATGTTGCTGGGCAACAGGCTCTTGGACATCCTGCTTGAGAGGTGGTTTGGATAAGATGACTTCAAGAGGTCCTTTCCAACTTCAACCATGCTGTGATATTACTAATGAAGGAATTAGAATTGAGCCTTGATAGGCTTCCCTGCTACTGACATCTAAAGGCCAATGCAAGTGAGGCTTTGCAGGATGGCAGTGGCTGTCTAAAACTAGAATGAATCATGTTCACTGTATATATGCAGTGAACATATAACTGGTGACATCGAAGGATCAAAAAGCGACATCGCTATGAACGCTTGGGCGTCATGAGACAGGTTAGTTTTACCCTACTGGTGATGTGTTGTTGCAATAGTAATCCTCAGTATGAGAAGAACCACAGGTTCAGACCCCTGGTGCGTGCACTTGGCTGAGGAGCTGCTGGCATGAGGCTACCATCTGCGGGCTTATGACTGAACGCCTCTAAGTATCCCGCCTAGGCGCTTGTTGTGCTATTGCATCATCAGTCTCTTGTGATTGACCCAGGAGTTGACAGTCTTGATCAGAATGCGTGGGTGACGGTCTTCCCTAACCTTTGTTAGCGAAGGCAGGCCTTCCTCATAGGAGAAGGAAAACTCCTATCTTCAAACCTGGGCTGATGGAGCTCGTCTAGCCTTGTATGGTCTTCCATAAAAGAGAAAGACATTCTTACAAAACCTATGACCTGTGGACTTTGCTGTCACCGTCCTACCTAACTAGGCTGTGGCGGTTAAACCTCAGGTTTAAAGGGTAGGGCCAGTTTTGCGCAAGCTGCACTGCATCTAAAAAATCCACTGCGCAGGCTGGAAGGTCTTACTCTCACTTGTCTGTATGGACAGGCGAGGGTCGAAACGGTTGGTGACAAGGTGCATGGGTAGCTGCAGATCCAACCTTGCATGGGGGCGGACCAGCACATGGGTAGCTTGGCATCACTCAGGAGATGACAGTCCTGGATGGACATTTCCTGATTGCCTAAGCACCCTTTTTTTCCAACCAGATTTGCATACCCCATATGCCTTTGGTCATTTTGCTTGTAGTAAACGCTGTTGAAGCCCTTCCCAAATCTTCACTCGTGACGCCAAGCCATCAATAACTGGTGAATAAATGTCAATGAGTTGTTCAGAAATCACTGCAAAGGATAATTTTTCCACAGCTTTTTGCTCCACAGTTTGCCATTCTCTAGGAGAAAGTGGCACACAGGACAGATGATGTTGTTTTGGGGGCTCAAGGGTTAGTTTGGGCATATTATTGAGAAGGAAAGTATTTTAGATACTAGTTGAGATTTTATCCTTTTTAATAAATAAAGGATGTACAAGACTGTAACTGGATCTGTAATCATTACTGTGGCCTCTGCTCTTTTTCAGCTAATTCATGACATGGTGGTGGACACATCAGTAGTGTTTCCTCATCCGCTAGGTTTGCCTCACAAAAGAACACTTAGAAGTCTGACAGCTGATTACCTCAGGAGAATTCATCAAGATGATGGTAAGAGCCTGGGTTCTTATTAAGCAATCAATATATTGCCTCGTGAAATGGGAGACAGGAATTACCCAGAAAACTGAAAAGATAATAATACCCTTGCTGTCATTTAAAGCTTTGTCTTAAATATCTTTAGTTCAATTGTGTAGTAGAAGCAGAGGATATTCCTGAACGGTAAGATGGTTGGTGATGTGATTTAACCCTGCATGGCAACTGGGTAGCATAAAGCCTCTCACTCATTCTCCCCCCAGTACAGCTGGTTTGTCAGAGGGTTATACAAAAGTGTTCCAGTTTCTTTCACTTGCAAAGGGACATTCTTACAATTCTGAAGGTAGTGTGGTGAGCCTAGCATCTATGTCAGGATTCACTTGATTACCCAGACTGATACACGAGCTCTTCAGCTGGGATTTTCAGTAGTAAAATTAAAGCAAGTTTCTTTGCTGACACTCAAAGACAAATCAAATCATGTTCTACAGCATGCATATAATACTTACAAAGCATTGAATTTGACAAATATATTTTGCTTTAACCATGCCATTCTAAAGGATTTTTTAATCTGATTTTAGATACTCAGTTTGTTCAAATAAACTGGCAGATTCATATTTGCTTTTATCAGTGAAGCCTTCTGGACAATAAACAATATTCTATTCTGCTAACATACCTCCACTGCCCAGGGAATACATAAATGGTCGCACTGAGCAAAACTCAGTGGCATTTGATATCCAGTGGAGTAGCTGGATCTGTCTGTCAAAGCTAATATCCCCTGACTTCCTTTGCTGTTGCAGGCTTATGCACACCTTTCTAGCGAGGCTAAGAATGTCAAAAGTTATTTCTAAAGACTATAAGATGGCTATCTCAAATAGTAAAAATTCTGCCTTTAGCAGACTTTTCTGCTTAAATTTGGATTTAATCATGCCTTGTTGATCACCACTGAGCTAAAATCCAAGCTTAAACTATAGAGCTATGTAGCTGCCATGTCTAGGAAAAAAACCCGCAAACCTAAAAAGTCCTGACTCATGACTTCCACTCTCTATGTTTTTATCGGTTTCTGCTGCTGCTTTGTGCTAGTTTGCATTAGTTTTGTATTAGATTTTACAAATTTTGATTCTGATTTACTTTCTTTGTAAACTAGGGTTTATTAGAATGAAATGCCCTTTGCTGTCAGAAAGCAGTAGGTCTCTGGTGTTTTAGCTTGCTTCGACTGCACTGCTTTAAGCCAGAAGATACCTGAATTGCAGTGACATGTCTAAATGTCTGAAAATCTTTGTTTCTGAGTCTAGGCTGCTACATGTAAAAAATCATCTCAAATCACTGGCATTTCAGTTTTACCAGAGAAAGCTAGAAGCTGGTACTTGTACTTTTGAGTCATCTCTTGTTGTGATAGCGTTTAAGTGCTCTGTTTCTCTGGGGAATAAAACACCTCAACTAAATCTAAGAATTATTTATTATTTTATTATTTATTATTAACTTACTATTTTGGGGTTTTCTCCCCTGCCCAAAGTGGTTGTGGAATCGGTAGTTGTGGAATCTGTGCAGTAATTCAATGCTGTAGTGCAAAGAAGCAATGCCTTTTTCTTTTTGAGCCACTAGCTCAGAAATGTAAAATGGGGAGGGGATTTTGCCACCTTCAAATGCAAATGCTGATCTCTATAGAGTCATAGAATAGTTAGGGTTGGAAAAGACCTTAAAATAATCTAATTCCAGCCCCCCTGCCATAGGCAGGGATGTCTCACATTAGATTGTTTGGCCCAAGACTATGTACAGCCTGGCCTTGAACACTGCCAAGGATGGAGCATCTGTATGCTGTCATTTCTTCCACAACTATTCTGGTTTCTGAATAACCAGATGCTATCCCAAACCTGTTTATCTCATATCTTCAGTACCTTTATTAAAAGTTTTATATTCGAAATGGTGAGTAAAATCTTAACCATTAGGATTTAGATTTGTTTTCATCAGTTTGTATAGGCGTTGAGGTATGCATTCAAAGTAGTCCATGTGAAAATTTGACACTGTGTCAAACTTTTGCTTATGAAGATGACGGCTGAATATAGTAGGTCTGTTCTCCACCTATCCTAAAGTTGCAGGGAAATCTCAACACACAGCTTTGGCTTTCAGCAGGGAATGCTTGGAACTTTCAGTAGTTAATTGCCATTAACCTGGCAGCCAGCTTTTCTTGTATTGTTCTGATTTTAGAAGGGGTATTCTGATATAGTATATATATGGGACTATAGTAAGCGCCAACTAATGAGAGGATTGTATGCATTTCTTGTTCGGATGACTACCACTTTTTTTTCCCCAGCCAGAATGCATTAAAACTTTTATACTTTAATTCCTGTTATTATAGTTACTAAGTTATGGGAATTGCATAAAATGTATAAATTTGTAAGTTGTTAACTTTATTAAGTGGTTGTTTTAAGCATATATAATTTAAATCCTTTATTCTGTTCAGATTTTGTGGTGGATTTCAGTTGATCAGGACAAGTGGATTGTCTTTAACTAAGGCAGAAATTTATAATCTAGTTGCAAAATCAGCTTGTCATATGTTACTCTTTCAGCTTCTGATTTGAAAGTACATGACTGGGGGAATCTGGTTTTCCAAAGACAGTTATATTGGACACTGGAGGTTACTCTGGGTAGTAACTCTAAACTGGTAATCTAGGCCTCATTGGATATTGGAACTGGAGGATGTGGTGGTAAACTGAACATTGCTGGACAATACTGGATTGCTAGAAGCATGTGACTATTACCTTGAATCCTGGTAGCAGGAAGTTGCACCAAAACCTGTCAAATACCAAGGATTGTCTTAGTATGTTCAACAATTGTTCACCTTAATAAGCAAAGCTACCATTCTTCTATAAAGAAATAAATATTATAGCACAAAATAATTTTTTTTAAATTCTTTTCTAGATGGTTATAATTCCAGGGAAAATGCAATGGCTTGTATGGAACTAATCCTTTGGAAGGTCAGAGAGGATAATGGAATGAGAAAACAGTGATTATTGTGGCTCTGGAGGACAAAGTCAACCTCAGCTTGGCTCGCTGCTCTGTAATGTTTCAGTACCAATTACTCTTCTGATGTAAAGAGGTGAAAATCTAATGGAAAAACCTGATTGTTCTTCTGACGCCTAAGGTGTGCAGGAAGGAGAAAACACAAATGTAGAAAATACGTGCAAGAGGCACAAACTAAATTCTGGTGTTAAGCAGGTTTTTGGTTTTTTTTGTTGTGTTTTTTTTGTTTGTTTTTGTTTTGTTTTTTTTTTTTTGTCAAAAGTAATTCTATAATTGTCCTCACAACTCTGTGTAGCTGAAAACTATCATTTGCAGTAAGTGAAAGTTCTGTTGTTTCAAGTTGTGGATATAACCTTTTGATTTCACCTTGTTCAGCCTCCGAAATAAAACTCAAGTTTCTGCAGTGTGGTTAAAGTCTGAGATTGTATCCTTTTCCCCTGTCACTTCCTGGTTCTCTCTACCTCTCCATCTGTTTTCGGAGAGAGAGAAAACAAGCTTAGTCATGCTTAATGCACTAATAGACACAAAAAGGTATAAAGGTAGAAATGTGACCTCTTCTGGAGCAGAATCAGCTTGTCTCTTAAATTAGTTAAGGCTGGATGAAGCTTTTCAACTGTAAAAGCAGCAAGGCTCCCAGAAAGTTTCAAGAAGTAAATACCTTCACTGGGCTATAATTTGAGATATAATCACCTGTCTCCTGCATAAGGTAGGAGTCAGCATTTCCTGCCTTCAGAGAGGAGGATTGTAAAGTCTGTTGCCTCTTATCTTTCTGTGAAGGAAATTTAAGAATGGACCACATCTTTTGTGCAAAACTAACTCTCAGCTGAAGTTATACTTGCACTGATTAGCCAAAAAAAAGCTGAAAGCGGTAAGGGAAAAATGGTCCTGACTGAGGACTGTGTATGAGTAACTCAGTAGTGTAAAAATCTCAGTTCTTGGATGTACTGTGAAGAATGATTATACTGCATGACAAAATCTGTGTTGAAGGTTAGAAATCACTGTAGCTGCTTCTTGATCATTAAAGAACCTGGGGCCATGTCCTGTTCTGTGAGATACTGATGGGCAATAGCTGTTGTTAGAATACTTTTCCCTGTATTAAAAGAACAGTCCTGCATACAGGCCCTGCTACAGCTTTGAGAAGGGGCTTTGGCATGTTCTTTACAAACTCGCTTTCTTTACTTACTCATGATCCTCCCAGGTTTGAATGTAGGTCTTTTTAGTGATGATTACCTTTATTTTGCTTTGAGTAAAATGAAGAAAACATACAAATGTCTACTCTGTAGGACCCGTTCTGCAGAGAAACCTATGGTAGTCATCCAGCAAGTTGTTAGCAGGGACCAAACTGGTACCTCTGAGGCCCTCTAAGGAACCTGAAATATCTGACTTGTCTTTGTAACTTCTTGAAGTTACTGAATTATTGAATTATTAAAACCAAATACATATACTGTGCATAATAAGTAAAATCATTTTAGATACTAACTTTTTTGCAATTGTTTCAAAATAAACAGTCTTTTGATGCTGAAAGAAATGAAATTTCAGCAAAACTGAAACCTGGTGTGAATGTAAGAGCAGTTAATAATTAGAACAGTGACTTAGCTCTGAGTTGTATTGCTGTCAGCTCCCTGATGCTGGGTGCCATAAGCATACTTTTCTCCTGCCCACATATATCAATGATATAGTGTTCTAGTTTTGGCTGGGATAGAATTATAGAATGGACCTTAAATCTCATCTAGTTCCAACCCAACCTTCCACTAGACCATGTTGCCCAAGCCCCATCCAACCTGGCCTTGAACACATCCAGGGATGAGGCATCCACAACTTCTCTGGGCAACCTGTGCCAGTGCCTCACGACCCTCACAGGGAAGATTTCTTTGGTGCAGTGCTGAGTTTTGGTTTCAGTTTGAGAACAGTGATGATAGTTGTTGCTCAGTAGCACTTACCCTGATCAAGGACTTTTCAATCTCATGCTCTTCCAGTGAGGGAGGGCACAAGAAGCCAGCAGGAAGCAGAGACAGGCCGCCTGATCCAAATTAGCCAGAGAGGTATTCCATACCACAGCACATCATGCCCAGTGTATAAATTGGGGGGAGTCACCCGGAAGGGCTCGATCACTGCTTGGGTCAGGCTGAGTATCAGTTGGCAAGTGGTGAGCAATTGTATTGTGCAGCACTGCTGTTTCGTTTTGGGGGTTTGTTTCACCTTGTTTTTTTCCCTTAGTTCTATATTTCTGTCCTTGTTATTTCCCTTAGTATTATTGTACTTTATTTGAATTATTAAACTGTTCTTATCTCAACCAATGGGTTTTACTGTTTTGTTTTTTTCCCTGATTATGCTTTCAATCACACTAAGCAGGGTGTGGTGGTGAGCAAGCGGCTCCATGATACTTAGTTGGCAGGAGCTGGAAATTTCACTTATGTTTTTGAGATGTGAGAGACTGTTGTGGTCTGATTGGATCGCCACTGTTTAGAGGGACTCGCTAAAAGTATTGGCTCCTATGCCATCAGCTGTGTCATATTGTGCTGTTAAGTGAATATGTGAAAGAGCTCTGAAGTATTATAGGGAAATGTCACACTAGGTTTACTTGATTGAGGGCTTTGAATTACAGACTGGAACAGTTTGGCTTTTTTTGTTTCAACTGTTCTTTAATCAGCATTTCCCTGTGTCAAACCAGTTGCCTTGCACATGGGAATGTGTGATCAGTATGTGACTTGGGGAAAGGCAAAATCGTGTGTTGGGAGCAGGGAATGTAGTGTAGTAAGGGGGAACACTTGTGTTTAATCAGGGCTGAGCTATGCCTTTGTAATTTAATTGCTCATACTCTTTAGCTGGGCATCTGTTTATGTTGTGCATTTTCCTTCCCCCATCTTGCAAAGTTCACAGAATCACTGTATAACTGGGATTGGAAGGCATCTGGGGAGATCATCTGGTCTAGTCCTCTGTGGTGGCCAGTCAGTTTTTTAATATCTCTGAAGGTGGAGACTCTGCAAAGTCTCTTCCATTGCTTGACCACCCTCACTGGAATTTCCTAGGTTTCTGTTTATGCTCACTGTTTCTCATCTTGTCAATGGGTATTGTTGAGAAGAGGCTACTTCCATCTGACTTGCTTCCTTCCACCAGGTATTTATATGTTTTGATTAGATGTATGTAATAGTTAACAATTTGTATTTTGCTTTCAGAAATGTCTGACCATTATATTTTAGGTAGTGGAGAGGGCCTGTGTTTGACCTTAAAGTTGTGTCAGGCAAAATCTGTCCACAGGAAGTAAGAATTAAATATCCCCATTATTTAACACCAGTTGTGTGTATACTTTTCCATTACTGAAGAGTGGGAGGATTTCAGCCATTAAGTGGGTCATCTGAATTTAGACACCACAAAGGGTACTCATACCTTACTTTTCAACCATTCTAATGAGGATAAAGGTGCTTATTTGGAGTTTTTGTTACCTCTGCCCTCACAATGGTATCTAGTTAACCCTGCATTACCTGCCTTTCTCTTCTGCCTTTCTCTTCTTCTGCCTTTCTCTTCTCTTCTTTCTCCATTTTCTCTGATCACATGACCGATCATTTCTTTTCAGTTGATTATCAGCAGTTACCTGTCCTTCTGTGTCATATGCCTCCTCAAAGCATGGCCAGCTCCACTTGTCTGAAACAATTCTTTTCTTTCCTAAACAAAAACTTGTACTGAGTATGAGCTGAATAACTGTGTGTGAGAGAATATGGGAAAACTGATGCAGCAATACTGAAAGCCAACATGGAGAACAGCTGATGATAATTCTGAAGTCATGCATAGATATCAGCAGATGTAAATAGAAGGAGGTGTATGAAGAATGTTAGGACATGGGATGTTTGAAATAATGGAAAACTGCTGGCACTGGTAGCATTATGAACTTCACAGCACAAAAACATAGAAGACACTTGGGAAGGAGGTGATTTAGGAATTAATGTAACGTGCTGTGAAAGGCAGAACATAAAACCTGCTAATGGTTAAGCTGAAGACTTTGTATGCCGCCTACTGCCATAAATCAGGCTTTCCAGCACTGGACAACAGGCAGTAAAATCTAGCTACTGAACCTGGGATACCCAGTGCACATTGCAAGTATAGAAGCAACTAGTCTACCTGAGACTTTGACAAAGCTAGTTAATGTTTCTAATACCTATAGTTCTCTGATGTATAGACTGAATAGATACATCTAAAACTGTGTATTTGAGTTATTAGGGGTTTTTGTGTATTTTCAAAATAGCAGTTTTTTTTTTTTTAAAATCATTTCAGCCGTTTAGAAATCTAATGTGTGCCATAATGTTAAATGAAAATATGAACATTTATAAGAACACTTAAATGCCCTTCAGCTAAATTTACAGTGCTATTTGAGCACTTAAAATGCAGACAATACTAAGACTTATTGGGTAAAAGAATGACACTGATTCTTTCTTTATGTGGCATTTTGGTCCAGGTAGAAGTTTGCCACAGAAGAAGGGATTCACATCAAGCAGCAGAATAGTCAGTTGTGTCTGCTTGTTAGGAATGTGTGAGACAATGAGCTGTTTTGGACAAGTGAAAAGTTCTGCACAGAAAGCAGAACAGTTCTAACAGAAGTTGATAGCTAGCTTTGCTGAGTTGCCTAGAAAACACCCATGGAGGTCTGTTCCTATTCGCCTCACCGACATGTAGGAACCTGGTTGGATTGCAAAATGCAATGCCCATGCTTCAGAAGAGCCTGGCCAAGTAGTTTTTTTCCTGAAAAATATGGTGGAATTTGTTCCTCTTTTCCATTTTAGAGTTGTTTCTTGGTCCAGTGAATCTGTGTGCTCTTTGTAAAATTCTGGTTTACATCTGCCACCTGTTCTTACAGTGAGAGTTCTGCTTATCTCAGGACCACATGAGTGTTCTTAGCACCCTTGTTTGTTGACTTACGGCCTTTTAATAAGGCTCTTGGTGCTTCTATTTGAGTCATCCTGGCATATTCCAGTAATATTACTCTATAGTAACATTATATCCCTGCTGTTAT